CATCACTCACAATGGATCTTGAATATTCCAACTGTAATCAGACATACCTAAGTTGCCTCAACAATTGCAACCCCAGTTGCAATATCAAATTCTGTGACACCACTAAAAAATAATACAGTAGTCCCTGGTGCACTCTTAAGATTAAGAGAAAACGGATGACTCAGGCGGCCTTGAAGTGAGAGAAATCGGACTTCTATGAAGGGGCAATCAAATAAATATACACATAGCTGTATAATGCAATATTATGCAATATTAACCCCTAAATTGATGTTTTAAGAAGGTATATCATAAATTATTTAATGTACTGTATTGTATGTGTTTATAAATGTTTATTTTCATTAATAAAAGTGCTTGAATTACTTTTTTGGGGCCGAAAAAATTCCTAAGGAACGCATCTCCAGTTTTATAATGGAAATCAATGGGAAAATAGGTTTCGCGTTACGGAATTTCGCGATACGGTAAATTTTCCGGGAACGGAACCCTTCCGTAATGCAGGGGATGGCTGTATTGGGACCTGGGGGTCGAAATAATAATAATAATAATAATAATAATAATAATAATAATAATAATAATAATAATAATAATAAAAATAATAAAAATAATAATAATAATAATAATAATAATAATAATAATAATAATAATAATAATAATAATAATAATAATAATAATAATTATTCATAGGTCTAGGTCGTGTTTCTCACTTCTGATCTTTTTTTCATTCTTGTATTTCTTTATTATTATTATTATTATTACAGGTTGACAACCCTTCATCCGAAATTCCAAAAACCGAAAAGCTCTGAAAACCGAAAGTTTTTTTGTGGAGCAATTTTTTTTTTTTTTTTGTATTAGCCCACCCGGGCACAGGTCACTGACCCACATCGGGGCCTGGGGGGTGAAAATGTAATAGTAATAGTAATAATAATTATAATAACAATAATAATGATAATTCGGTAATAATAATAATTATTCATAGTAAATAAAATTTTTAATAAAAAATACACAAAAATAAAATAAGAATGTTAACAGTAATAATAATAACAATAATACTGTAATAATAAAATAATAATAATAATAATAAAGAAATACAAGAATGAGTAAAAAGATCAAAAGTGAGAAACACGACCTAGACCTATGAATTATTATTATTATTATTATTATAATTATAATTATTATTATATTTTAGCCCCCAGGCCCCAATGTGGGTCAGTGACCTGTGCCTGGGTGGGCTGATCCCTGTAAAAAAAAAAAAAAAAAACCCTCTGAAAACCGAAAAATTCCAAAAATCGAAATACATCTGGTCCCAAGGATTTCGGATAAGGGATTGTCAACCTGTATTATTTTAGTATGTTAACTCAACTGCTCCAAAAAGGTCGTTCGTTAACCGAAACGTTCGTTAACCGAAACCATTGTTTCAATGGGTTTTTGGGTAATTGGTTCCAGCTCACCGAAAATTCCTAAATTCAACAAAAATGGTAGAAAAGTTCACTTACTTTGAGGTGTGTATGTAGAAGGCTCCTGGATGATGATGATGATGTGCATTTGAAGTGGGAGGTGGAGGAGGAGAAGGGAGAAGAGAAGGAAGTGGAGGTGGAGGAGAAGCATTTTACTGCTTCTTGGAAGGTGAGTCACCTTCCATGAAAATGTCAGGAACCTCTGGACTGACAGATTCTCCACCATGAACATCCTCTCTCCTTCTTGAAGTGGAAGGCTGAGGGATAGCATCTTGTTCCCTCTGCCTTTTACTGAAGAAAGTGTCAATTGTGGTCTGTGGGGCATCTGTCCTCCTCACCATTAACTTATGTTTAAAGAAGGAGACCACTGAGTCCTCAACATGGCACAAAGTTAGTTCAGTTTTTTCCACTTCTGGGTGCTTTGAAGCCAGTTCCCTGAACTTCTCCCAGTGGTAAATCACATCTTTCAACTGTTTAGCTGACATATGGTCATCACTTTCAATTTCCTCCTCACCACTGTCAGCCTCTACCCGTAACATCTCATCCAGTTGCTTCAAGTCATCAGGAGTAAGTTCCTCCTCATGAGACATCACAAGCTCTTCCACGTCCTCCTCCTCCACTTCAAGGCCCAATGACTGACCAATGGACACAATCTCCTGGTCCAACTCTGTTTCTTCCTCAAATCCCTCAAAATCATGGACTACTGATGGCCATAGTGCTTTCCATGAAGAATTGAGGGATCTAGTAGAGACTTCTTGCCATGATGACACAATCAATTTTACAGCCTCCAGGATGTTCAATTGTGTCTTCCAGAACTGTTTCAGTGTTAGTTCAGGATCATTGGAAGTTGCCTGATGACACCTCCTAAACATTTTCTTCATGTACAACTTCTTGAAGTTGCTGATCACATTCTGGTCCATTGGCTGTATGATTGATGTAGTATTTGGAGGCAAAAACAACACTTTCACAAAGTCAAATTGATACTCCAAACTGCTGGCAAGGTCAGGGTCATGACCAGGAGCATTATCCATGAGGAGAAAGAGCCTTTAAAGGGAGTTTATTGGTGGTTAGGTAGCTCTTGACAGAAGGGCAAAACACATCAACAGCCCATTCATTAAAGAGCTGTCTTGTCACCCATGCCTTACGGTTGGACTTCCAATAAACTCCAAGCTTTGTTCTTACCACTTTCTGTTGCTTGAACACCCTGGGGTTTTCAGAGTGGTAGACAAGCACAGGCTTCAGTCGGAAATCCCCTGAAGCATTGGCACCAAGCAATAGAGTGAGACGGTCTTTCATGGGTTTATGCCCAGGTAAAGAGGCTTCATCTTTGGTGATGAATGTTCTTTTGGGCATCTTTTTCCAGAACAGCCCAGTTTCGTCCACATTGATCACTTGCTGTGGAAGATAATTTTCTTCTTCCATCAGTTTTTTGAATTCACCTAAAAACTTTGCTGCCCCTTCTTTATCAGCACTAGCAGCTTCACCATGCCTAACAACACTGAAAATGTCACTTCTTTTCTTAAATTTTTCGAACCAGCCTTTGCTGGCCCGGAAATCTTCAAATTCTGTGCTTGAAGAACCAGGTTGATCTGCCTTTAAATGTTCGTAAATCTCCCTGGCTCTTTCACAAATGAATTCAGTAGAAACTGAATCACCTTTCATCTGTTTTTCCCTAATCCAGATGATAAGTAACCTCTCAGTTTCTGCGATTAGGGATCTACTTTTAAACACTTGTAGATTTGTCTCTCTCTTTCACTTCTTTAAATTTGTCTTTCTGTGCAAGAATTGTCGACACAGTTGATGTCGACATGCCATATTCTTTGCTAAGCACATTTGTTCTAATGCCTTGTTTATGTTTTTTTATGATTTCCTGCTTGGTTTGGATTGAAATAGCTTTTCTTGATCTCTTAGGCCCCATGCTGGATTCAAACAATGTCAACACGTGTTTTTCAAAGTTAAACTTGTTGTAAATAAAGAATATTTTCTTTAAAATAACACTGCAATGCGCTATATATTGTCAATATGTAAAATAAATTTCAAAATGACCAATAATTTGCTTGGAAACACAGAAAAAAAGCGTTTAGTTGAAGAGAGTCTCAAGCAAGATGTTACCTCCAGTGAAAAGAGAGAGAGACTAACGCCTGTTTGCTGTGTGAATAGTATATATAAATCTTGATATTTACAAAATAGTAAGTGAATTTAAGCCCTAGAACCGATTAATGTATTGGCGGCACTGACATTTTGTGCTGGTTGCCCGCCAGTGCAAGTGAAATGTTGGAGGTCGGTTCGTAAGAAGTTCATAGTTTTAAATTTTTTCTCGTTAAACGAATTGAAGATCCTTATGGAAGGCAGTTCGTTAATCAAATTACTAACCGAGGTGTTCGTTAAACCAGGGGTCACTGTGGCCTTAATTATAAATTTTATTTAATATGAATAATTATTATTATAATTACATTTTCGCCCCCGAGGCCCTGATATGGGTCAGTGACCTGTGCCCAGGTGGGCTAATCCCTGTTATAATAAAAGAAAAAAGAAAAAATAATTTTGCTCCACGAAAAAACTTTTGGTTTTCAGAGGTTTTCGGTTTTCGGAATTTCGGATAAGGGGGTTGTCAACCTGCATGTATTTAGGATGGTGTGTGCATGTAACTGAGTAAAAATAAATTAAGAAAGTTAAGTATATCTGCTCGAAAATATGAGTTGAAAAATCATAACACCTCACAGCTTGGCCCAGTAGCCTGGTGGTTACAGTGACGAGTCTAACCTGGTTACAATGCCATGGTTAATCATTATTAAAGCCCATTATATCAGTAAACATTGATTATAACAGTAAATCCAGTGAAATATGTCTTGTTTCTGATTATTTGTGAGAGCATTTTCCCATTATTATTTATTTATTTATTTGTATGTTTCGTGTTTGTGTGTGTGACTACACACACACACACACAGACATCAGGTCCTTCATAACACCATTGTGAGGGAATTAATACATCACATGAGGTCCCTCATAACACCATTTGTGAGGGAATTAATACACCACGTGAGGTCCCTCATAACACCATTTGTGAGGGAATTAATACACCACGTGAGGTCCCTCATAACACCATTTGTGAAGGAATTAATACACCACGTGAGGCCCCTCACAACACCACCTGTGAGGGAGTTACTACACCACTTGTTTGCTGTTCAACACCTCAGCTCACGTTACCTCCACTGTAAACATTAATTTGTATGTTCACTGTATGTTCCTTTTCCCTTCTCAAATGAAGGCTTTTGTTAACTCCCCCATGTCACTGTATGTAATAAGTCATTTATGTCCAATGTATATTTTCAGGCTTCGGGCTGCAAAACTTTTTCAATAAACCGTTAATTGTTAATAGTATTATTATTACTATACTGTACAAGTAAAAGAAATAATTGTCCTAAGGACAAACAGATAAAGGGAATATACAATTCTTTGCATATGAGTAAAAATACCCACCCACCCCGTCAGCAAATGATATTCGCAACCATTTTGAGACTAAAACCCCAGCGAATATTAAGGGCAAGTTATATATAATTTTTTAACACCACTTTTTACCTTACCATATTAGGATCAGGGACAGAATTTGGCAAAGCAGTTGGAAAACTTGGGTTACTTTGACTGCTTTCAGGCTGAATCCATGGTCTTAACGGCTCCTGGGAAAAAGTATGAGTTGGTGTAAGTATTAACAATTCAATAGGTAAGTACAGCTGTGGAGAAAAAAAATTGGCAGGGAGGAAGGGAGGAAGACTTGGCAATTTCGTGTCAGGGTGATGGAGAGAAGAAAAAAAATGTGGTTTGGGTGTATTGAGTTATCTACAGCCCATTGTTAGAGTAAGCTGCGCCTGCCTCATGATCAAACTATCGGGTAAAAAAAAATAATCTGTGGTGTGGAAAGAAAATCACAGACATTTTACTGTTACCATTATGCGACATTACCAAGTCTCCGCCTACTCCTACCTTGCCTCCCTCCCTACTTGCTTAATTCTTTTGTCCACAAATGTACATGAATAAAAATATACCCATAAATCATACAAAATAAATACTTTATATCACATATGAAACGACTAACATGTACAATTTGCTGTGATCCTTCTTCTAGTGTTCTCATATGTGACACTTTCTAACTTCATTAATTCATTGATAAAAGTCAATCCAACTCCTCAGTTTTTCTCATACACTTGTACCTCAAAGCATACTTGTTTTGAGAGAGAGAGAGAGAGAGTCTTTACTGAAACAACATTGTAATAAATTTAATACCTGCATTGCACTTATTACCTGTATTATTTGTTGGAGAGGTGCCATTCCTGTTGAATCAAATGACTGGCCTTGTGACTCATTTTCATATTTCATTTCCTCTTTCACAATGTTCATAGGGTCCACAAAGGGCTGTACCTAAAAATGAAAATCTTATTAATCTCAAAGCACAATCAAAGACACCCCATATTCTACGACATATACTGTACAGGACTGTAATTTTTGGCATTCACTACTTATTACTTTTTCCTTTACAGGAAAACTATACATGCTCTCTGTTTTACATAGCCTGCAACACTCTTATCATTTAATGCATCACTTTTCTGTCTCGCATCCCTAACATTTCACCAGTGACTCCATCCACTCTTGGTGCCTTAAACTTATAAAGCTTACAGCCAGTATTGCCTCTTTTATTACCCTTTTCTCCTACTTTGTTATGTACAATTCAATCCACCATGTTCTCAATAAGACACTGCCTCCTCTTTCTCAACTGTTTCCTCTTATCTTTAAACGAATCTTCTTTTACATTCTTTTACCACTTTCTTTATAATCTCTTTTTCTCCTTACATATTGCACTATCACCCTCTTTTAGTTTAACAAATTTATTGACAAAGCTTGGAGTACAGTTTGCCTATTCTGAGAAATTCAGTCAGGTCCTGACACTGAGGGTGGTATCACTTCTCACTGCCACGCAGGACAGAGGTTCATACACAAAGAAATACATCATATTCATTAACAGTATATATAGGTCAGATTCATGTGGGTGGTGTCACTGTTCACTGCCATGCAGGACAGAGGTTCGTACACAAAGAAATACATCATATTCATCAACAATATATATATATATATATATATATATATATATATATATATATATATATATATATATATATATATATATATATATATATATATATATATATATATATATATATATATATATATATATATATATATATATATATATATATATATATATATATATATATATATATATATATATATATATACACACACACACACACACACACACACACACAGTATTACCCCGCCTAACGCTTTCACTTAACGCGGGTTTTTTCCACATATACGCGGTGAGTGTCCGGCTCGAGAGCTATTTTTAGATTCGCCCCACCCCCCACCCGCCACCCTGCCTGACTGCCTGTTTAGCTCATAAAATTCATACAAATTAACCAGCCAGAATATAATTTACATTGCTGGAATTCTTAAAATTTGGTGATCGTTTTGAATATAAACATCATAGATTTTGCATTAGACATACAAATTTTAGATGTAAAGTTTATTCTGAGTAAATATGTTATATTTTGTGCAAAATATATGACATTTGTATTCAAAATATTCCTGGTCTTACAAGGACTCCAGCAATGTCAATTATATTATCCTAACTTTAGTTTGAGGTATTATTTATTACTAAAAAGGTAAATATTCTGGTGTTCCCACACATATGGTGAGACGGTTGGTGGGGGATTGGGGGGGAGGGAGGGACTGACCGACCATCTGTTACAATGAAGAATATTTTTTTTTTTTATTAACTGAAGATATTTGTTTTAGCTCATAAAATTCATACAAATTACCCGGTCAGAATATAATTTACATTGCTGGAATTCTTATAATTTGATGATCATTTTGAATATACCGTATATACCCGTGTATAGCACGAGTTCTTAAGACCAAATTTTTGGGCAAAAAGTTGGGGGTCGACCTCTATACGGGTAATAGTTTCGTTAGGTTGAAAAATATTTACCAGTAACTACCAGTAAACAATGGAAACGACGCACCAACGCACCACCCGCTGTGAGTGTCGGTACAGTTGCCAGGGCAGATCTCTTGCGTCATCATAGCAAGCCCAAAGTAGCCAAATGCATGGTATGGTATGCACAGGAGTATGTAGAACATAAAGTATTCATTTTTAAAAGTTTATTTATAGATACATAAATTTTTGTTAATTAAATTTGAAACATCAATATGATGTGAGTCAGGTCATCTACACACAGTTGCCAGTTTCAAAATTTTCCTTTTAAACTTTTAAGTTACCGAGTATTTCTTTTCCCAAATCGTTTTACAATACTGTAGGTAAAACAGTATACTATTGTGCAAACCCCACAGAAAAAAAATTAACAAATGGAGACACCAAAAATGTAAAAAAAAAAATGCTGTCTGACTTGCAACACTGTTGGTAGGGTCAGGTGGTTCTAACGGTACCTGCCAGGACCCGGTAATCAAATTTATAACAATATCTAACCTCAATTACTGTAGTTTATCTGATGTAGGCAATATGAAGTAAAAAATACCAGTTAAAGTGAGAAATTGGAAGAGAATAATTAAGAAAGATGTCGTTGGGCTATTTTTGGTAGGGCTGAGGGAGAGAGTACCAGCTGTTTGGTCTTTTTTGGCGGGAGAGTCACGCAAATAACCGTAGTACTGGTATTTGTTTGGTGTCTTCTGTATTTTTAAAAATGAATACTTGTAAATTAAAAGTACCGTAACATTGTATTATATACAAACTTGTCATATTTCTGGAAAATAAGAAGCAAGAAAATAAGAATACACCGGTAAACACAATTTCAACGTACGCTAAAATTAAAAGCTGCTTAAGAAGGGCCGATGCAAACACAAAGCCTCCACGACCAGGGCTCTGCCGTATCAGCTAGACGGTACACGTGTTTTTCGAATCGTTTTCAGTTAAAAAACTTTTACATCACAAGTGAATTAGGATAGAATATTAATAACAGTTTTTAATTGAAACTATCGACATGTCCACTTTCCACTGTAATACATACGTCATTTCAGCAAAAATATTACATTTCCATATTCTCAGAAATAAATAGTAGTTTTGCTGAAACGTGATGTATTTCAATGTAAATTAGGATAGACTACATGCAGAAAACAAAAGACTTTACCTAACCTTCCGATGTTCAAGAGATGTTACTCGTATTTTTAATAGTTTTCGGTTAAAATACTGTTATATTAGTGATATTCTATTCATACTGTGGTTGATATAATACCTTCACGGAAATGTAATATTTTTTGCTAAAATGACATACGTATTACAGTGGAAAGTGGGATAAAATTGTGATGAAAACAATGACTTTCGCTTTGTTTCGTTCAAAAGATGTTACCGTAATCACTTTTCGAATGGTTTAGTTAAAAAACTGTTGTATTGTATTACAATAATATCCTAATTGACTTGAATAAATATTACGATACCATATTTCTGAATATTTTCATTAAAATCCACCAAAATCATTTTCTTTGTCATCGTCTGCAGCACCAAACAGCTTCTCCCAGTCCTCTCCTTGAACAGGGCTAGAGGGTACACGTGTTTTTCGAATCGTTTTCAGTTAAAAAACTGTTACATCACACGTATATTTTACCTAAACTGCGCCTGAATAAATATATTCTCGGAAATAAATAGTAGTTTTGCTGAAACGTGATGTATTTCAATGTAAAATAGGATAAAATACATGTCGAAAACAAAAGACTTTACCTAAGCTCCCGATGTTCTCGAGATGTTATTCGTTTTTTTAATAGTTTTCGGTTAAAATTCTGTTATATTACAATGATATTCTATTTATACTGTGCTTGATATAATACATTCACGGAAATGTAATATTTTTTGCTGAAATGACGTACGTATTACAGTGGAAAGTGGGATCAAATCGTGACGAAAAAATGACTCACTTTCTTTCCTTCAAAAGATGTTACCGTAATCACTTTTCGAATGGTTTAGTTAAAAAACTGTTGTATTACAATAATATTCCCTCCTAATTGACTTGAATAAATACTTGAATGGAAATATACAATATTTTTGTTGAAACTACCCGCGTTTCAGTGTAGTGTGTCGTGATAATAAATGGTAAACAAGTTTATAGGACGTAGTGTTTCTCTGAAGGTTTTGTTGTTCCTTTACCCTCAAAAACTTGGGTCGACCTATAAACGAGGAATATCATAAATTAACGATTTCTTGGTCATAAAATCGGGGTCAACCTATATACGAAGGGGGGTTATAGACGAGTATATACGGTAAACATCATAGATTTTGCATTAGACATACAAATTTTAGATATAAAGTTTATTCTGAGTAAATATGTTATTTTTTGTGCAAAATATATGACATTTGTATTCAAATTATTCCTGGGCTTTCAAGGAATCCAGCAATGTCAATTATATTATCCTAACTTTAGTTTGAGGAATTATTTATTACTATACCTGGTTTTCCCCCCAAAATTTCTCAGAGGGAAGAGCCAGCGAGTGTACTGTGAGAAGAGTGGGAGGGAGTCGAGTCCATTATTTGAATGGACATTAACTTGGCGACTGTATTTCTCTATTTCTCTTAAGTATTAATTGTGTGCATGTACCATCATAAAATTAAGATGTTATTTTTACTAGAACATAGTTATTTGTCGTCAAAAAGTGGAGTTTGGGGATGGGCCAGTTTCTATTGGAATTAATCCCATATGTTCTGTTGTTCACTTAATGCAGTTTTCACTTAACACGGTACCCTCTGGGTTTTATTGACCGCGTTAAGTGGGGTACAACTGTATGTATGTATGTATGTATGTATATATATATATATATATATATATATATATATATATATATATATTATATATATATATATATATATATATATATATATATATATATATATGTATGTATGTATGTATGTATGTATGTATGTATGTATATATATATATATATATATATATATATATATATATATATATATATATATATATATATATATATATATATATATATATATATATATATATATATATATATATATATATATATATACGTATATACCCGTATATAATTTAGTTCTTAAGACCAAATTTTTGGGCAAAAAGTTGGGGGTCGACCTCTATACGGGTAATAGTTTCGTTAGGTTGAAAAATATTTACCAGTAACTACCAGTAAACAATGGAAACGATGCACCAACGCACCACCCGCTGTGAGTGTCGGTACAGTTGCCAGGGCAGATCTCTTGCGTCATCATAGCAAGCCCAAAGTAGCCAAATGCATGGTATGGTATGCACAGGAGTATGTAAAACATAAAGTATTCATTTTTAAAAGTTTATTTATAGATACATAAATTTTTGTTAATTAAATTT